ACAAGCTAGAAAGGGAGTTGAAAAGAAATCAGAAAGCGCAGAATTAGTTAGAATGAGAGTGTCCGTTGCCACTTCCGAGGGGCTATGTCATCACATCGCTGGGATTTCTCTTTTATTTCGGTTCCAGCCCTTCGCCGAAGTACCCTCACGGTAAAAACGGCTCCTGGTTTTCCCAGGAACTCCCTGGAAACCGCCCATGCCTTTACCATTGGCTTCCTGGGAAAACCAGGTTCCGTTTTCGCCGTGGTGCTCCGTGAACCTCCGTTAAAAATTGCAGCGTTTCGTTGCAAACGTGCACACAAAATCTCTGTGTGTACTCAGTACACACTTCTAGGTGCGTGCTTACAAGCATGCACTTCTAGGTGTGTACTTGCCTAAGCACGCACCTAGAAGTGTGTACTTGAATGAGTACACACTTATAATTGTGTACTTAGTGAGTACACACTTGCGAGGTGCATGCGCAGCATAGGGAAAACGCATGCACTTCTATGTGTGTACTTACTGAGCATACACTTATAAGTGTGTACTCATTCAAGTACACACTTCTAGGTGCGTGCTTAGGCAAGTACACACCTAGAAGTGCATGCTTGTAAGCACGCACCTAGAAGTGTGTACTGAGTACACACATAGATTTTGTGTGTGGACTCGCCTGCCACTGCCGCCCCCACGTCCCCCGGCCGTCGCCCCAGCAGTACGAGATACATGTCGCAGCGCTCCCACGGCGGCCCGGCCGCCACGGACTTGGCCGTGAGGATGCGGACGGGCGGCCCGATGCGGCACGACAGGCCCACCGCCTCGCCCAAGGGCGGCTCCACGTGCGTGGCGGCCGCGACCATCCCCAGGCAAGACCCCCGCGTGTCCACCAGGTGGACCACGGCGTCGAACACCGACGATCGGGAATCGCCGTCCAGCCGCTTGAGCAGGGCCTGGATTAGAAAATTTGGATTTTAGCTCCACACTGCAAGAAAAAGTGTGAATCAGGGGTCCGGAACATGCCGGAACAGAGGGCAAGTTCCGGGTGTTCCGTGCTTTTCCCGGAAAATCCTGGGTTACCAATGTTATTGGCTGAGCGATAGCGAAGCCCTTGCCGTGTTTGGGCGCTCCGAAAAGTGACTGGTCGTGCGTCTGTCTGTCTGTCTCTCTGTATGTAATCACTCACGTTTCTCAGCAACTACTGAACGAATAGTATCCAAATTTCACACCTGATGTCACCTAATCATCCTACAGGGGGAGTTTATCTCAGAATAACAATTATCATCGTTTGAAATATTCAAAACATCATTTAGAACTAGGTAATTAGCGGGTTTAGGTTGGTAGTAGCGTGTGGCTGACCAATTTCTCATACCGGCTGCCGCGCTTGCAAGCCGTCTGCAAGACGGGACGGCACTTATGCAAATAAACAAACTAAAGAGCAAAGGGGTTCTCAAATAGGTACTGAGATAGTTTTTGAACATTCTAGAATGATTGAAACCCTTCCGGGGGTGTCAACAGAGGAAAATACGGAAACTAAATGTGAGAATGGTTTACGTGTTTCGTTCCCCTCTTCCCCAGGGGAACAGGTCAGTGCACTGAGTGTAGTTGTGGATTGTAAATAGAATGTTTTCTTTGCCTTTGTGTGCATCTACTGATTTTATTCTCTCTGATACTATCCTAATTTTTAAATTTCATAGTAAATAAAATCAGGAAAATGCATGAATAACTTCTGTTGAAATTAGAGGACATGTTAATTGTCTTGGTTTGTCTCGGGGAAATGACACTCTATTGCAATGCTGCAAGCTAACATAAATATTCTAGTACTTACATCTATTGATTAAAAGAATCCATAAATAGATGTATTTTGTGCAATAAATAATCCATATATTTAGTGCTAACAGATTTTGAACTGATATTGGGTTCAAGGAGACGATTCAGGTTTTGAGCGGTGGGTGACTTGGTAATTGGATTTAATGACACGATTCCTTTCACTTCACCAAAGTTTGTGTCCGACAACTGGAACTAAGTATTGGTAATGGTTTAAAAGCTGGCTCTCTGAATGTAAGCCCAATGTTAATATTATAATGTATTCTTTTTCTCCAAAGATTAAATATCACGAGGCATGAATAAGGTAAATTATGTTGGTGTATTGAGCAACAAGTGGCCTCTGCATTTGACTTCATGAGACGATTCACTGAATTTGACAAAACTTGTTCTCCGTCGAATGCTTCAGATCAGCCTGCCCTAAACTGAGTCACTTAATAAAAACTATGATTACGTATTCCAGTCTATATTGTTTAATTCACTGGTTTTAAATGAAAGAATGACAAAAGGCTTCTCAAATGTAACTAATAAATTTGTGAATTCATTAGTTTGAAGAAAAAGATGTATCGAATAGTGAGTCAAGCAGACGAGTAGCTAATTAAGCGATTCAATGCTGGCAATGGAATGTTACTCGACTGAAGGAATCGCATTGGTGTGGCATTTGAGTATTGGTGACGACAAAGGGTGATCCATGAAGACCAACCCAGACCCATTCTTTACCCATTATTGATCAATTTGATATCAATATTTTTCAATCGAATCTCATATTGATTCTTGGAGTTTTTGGAGTGCTGATTATGAAAACCACTTCCATTTCTACTCCAGACTTATATTTTCATCTCAAATTAGGTCATTTCGGACCAAAATTTTCAGGTCGAGTTTTATATTGTTTCCTGCAGTGTTTTATGAGCTGAACTCAAAAATAACTTCTAAATTTTTCCCAGACTCACGCCTTACCCAATTTTGACCAAATTTGGACCAAAATTTTTGAATTGAGTTTGATGTTGATCCCAACAGTTTTTTGTGTGCTGATGACGAAAATCACCTCCATTTCGACTCCAGACTTATATTTTCATCCCAAATTAGGTCATTTTGGACCAAAATTTTCAAATCAAGTTTTTTATTGTTTCCTGCAGTTTTTGGTGCGCTGAGCTCAAAAATGACTTCCAAATTTTTCCCAGACTCACGCATTACCGAATTTTGACCAATTTTGGACCAAAATTTTGGAATCGAGTTTGACGTTGATCCCAACAGTTTTTTGTGTGCTGATAACAAAAATCACTCCCATTTATACGCCAGACCTACATTTCACTCAGTATGAGCCCACAAGCTGCAGTCCGAAGTGCACAAATTCGCATCGCTCAGCCACACTACGCGCCCACACAAAACGGCGCGTACCCCTAGTTCATTAGGGTCGGAACCATGGGTATTTCCTTCTTGGATTCGACTAAATATACCTCAGCAACCTGCCACAACCCGGAACAGGTTTCGCGTTCCGGACCCCTGGTGTGAATAGTGCAACAAACGTATAACAAAAACTGTACAATAAAAGTGCAACAGGGATTGTAGAAAGTGCCACGAGATTTGTACAAACAACAAAGAGGCCTGAACTGCACAGCACTCGACATGCTGGTCCAATTGTACTTTGGACAACAATTGTTGTACTTTGAAAGTACAATAAGTTCCTGAAAACATTTGCTAGAGATTTGCGTACTTTCGTTGTGGTTTTTTTCTTGCAGAGTGCGCAAGACCCGCTATTGACTTTTAGTGCATGGTATTGACAATTTGTGGATAGTACCTATGTTGTTGTTTTTTTAGGGGGAGGGGGCAACAATAATGTCTTTTTCACCTTTGTTCGTATTATCTGCATTTTTGTTATGTAGTACTTATTGACAAAACAATCATCCTTCATAATTCAATGGGGTCAATTGTTTGTACTGAAGAATAAAATACTATTATTGTTCCGATAGTAACTGATTCCTGAGGATAAAGTCAACAAGAGGCTGAGAGTGCGGGCGGAACAGCACGCTTATTCCACGAGCGTGACAGCCACGCTCTCAGACTGTTATTGACATTTTATCTGTTGGTGAAGAGTTTTCAAACAGCAATAAAAATACTATTACCGCTATATCTAAGATTTTGATCGTTACATTGATTCGAAGACAGTTTGCTATTGACGCATTTGACTACAAAAATAGCCAGTAATTGATGACAGTTGAATCTTTAGTGTGAACAATATTGTTCATGGTTAGGAAAGACATACTACTGGTTGCTCCTTAAAAAAACTAAGTTTAGCAAAGGAGAAAAGTCAATAATGAAAGAAAAAAAAGTCAATATGAATCTCAGAGTGAACGGACCGAACGGTACCTGAGGAGGCAGCGTCGCCACGAGGTTCATCGGGATGCCGAAGAACACTACGAATTCGATGATTCTCATTCTGCTGCGATGGAATAAAGTGAAATCGCGGAAGGCCGCATCCCACCACAACTACAGCCAGGCGCCATACAACTCAGAAGCTTTTACTGGGGAGAGCGTCGGGGGAGGGGCGGGGAGGAACGGAGGGAGGGGAGAAATCAATTCCGTCACCTCCTCCGGAACAATCATTCAAACAAATCGTCGTTCAATCCATCAAACTTTCCACGGACATGCCACGACTAGCAAACTTTAAAAGGGACGATCCGAATGCATGACGCCTGTCACGGTCCCAGACGCGGCACGGGTCGGAGAGTGCTGGGCCCATGCGCCCGGCACGCTCTGAGGCATGCACATCGCGCCGCCGACGCGCCACATGACTGCCGGTCATTTGCGATGATTGCCGCGACCATTGTTTAGACAGCATTCGAGTTCAAGTCACCATTCAGGTTAAAGTGGTTCGCCGAAACTCCTTTGAGTGGTCTGCACGCTGCTGGACATTCCAGCACGACCTAAACCAGGGTATGGAAAGAGGCCGTGGTGGGGGTAGGCACTAAAAAGGGCGCGAATAAGGTTTCCCCATTCTTACACTACAACGGGAAGAAAAACACGAGCCAGTTTTCCGACATAAAAACCAAGGAAACTGTATTAACACGTACCAATATGATGTTATTTCGATGATTCTGTTTGAAACTGAGTCTCTTAGCGACCGAGTTTTACCTAGATAGCAGTTTGAAATATTCCAAATGTTATCCTCGAAAGTTGGTGAAAATAGACCTGGGTCCCTTTCTGCTCTCTCTGGCCCGGCTGGTTCTGTGCATAAATTTGATTTTTCCTGTATTTTCCTCATAATTTGTATCTGAGAGCATGGCTATTGTCGTAAAATATTCTGTTCGTGGATTTGCGAGCACCAATCAAACGCACAAGCTCAAGAACTCTCCGGAAAACCACCCGAGAAGGTAGGTGTTCGGGGTTAACCCAACGGTGTGCCGGCTCTCGTCAAAAATTCCAACTGAATCTAAACCTGTGGACATTCATGCAGTGAACTGATCATCTCACGATTTTACCAGATATCTCTATTTTCCTTTGTGAATGCTTTACTGACGTTTCTCTCTGTCTTAGGTATTACATATGGCTTCGACATGCTGCGACTCAGTGGGAATCCCAAACTTCAGAATATTCTGCAGATTGAATTACTCAAGATGGAAGTGCGTTGAGACCATTTCACCCTTGCTATGTTTTGGAAGAACACCATGCCACGTCTGATAATTAATGCAGTGTCTGATATCTTGGGAATGTGACACCCCCTCGAGCTGATGGTGGCCGACAAATTGGGTACGTTCTCTTAAATCACTTAATTTATATTTAAGTGCGCAATACTGTACTCTAAAGAATGGTTGATGAAATAAACAAACAAACAAATCAATTTCCCTTCATAATAAAATGTTACAATTCCAAGACTGTGTTTCAGCTGTTGCTTTCTATGAAATGGGGGTGTGGAGTTGTTTAGACAGGACTTTGAATCAACATTGGCGTCTGCTTTGCTGTATGCATTTAAACTGAGAATGTTACTTTCTTTGTATTGAATCCCACTATTAAAATTCATTTTAAATAGAAAGTTTAACATAGTTAAGAGCTGAACATGAAGTTCGAAAGGCAATACCTTGAAAGGCAAACCAATTGAAAGGGTTTTTTTTTAAACGCCTCCTACTCTAAGTGTTGCAACGTTATCTGTTGGTTTGGGCATTTTACATTTTTCTAAATTTAATTAACTGTGGCAAAAGGAAGAGTTATTAGGATATGATGTCACTAAAATTGTTGACATTGTCAATGATAATGTGATGGGTCCAATGTCTGAGTTGTCGTTGTCATGACTTCATATCTTTTTTCACAGGGGTCCTTCACAAGCTGCTTCAGGGTCTGCCTGCATTGAAGTGCCATATTCCAGTGTACCTGGTGTTGCTGCAGAAGAGCCTGTTGAGACAGGTTCAGTTCGAGCAGAAAATTTGATTGCAAATTATGCTGGCCAAGAAGACAGAGTCAGCACGGAGCAAGACTTTGCCCAAAATAGTACAGAAGATTTCACAGCCAAGAGTTTCGAACTGGTCAGCCCTGAAGGACGCTGGTGTTATGTGCAATTTTGTGAAATATATTTAATTTACATGAACAATTGTGTATTATTGATCTGATATCATCTTTCATTATTATTGTTATTATTCGTGGCAACCGCCTCTTGACCACCTCCCCGGGATCAGAACACCCTTTCAGGACTTGGTGCAGATTGTAAATGTATTCATTTTTCTGTTTAGTTGATTACAATTTTGTTATCGATTAAACAGAAAAATGAATACACTGACAATCTGCACCAAGTCCAGAAAGAAAACAAGAACTGAATGTGAAACCGTCTGCTAGCTACTGGATTTCGTCTGCTGAGGGCCCAAATTTTTACATTTCCAACAAAAATAACATCATGTTTTTGCAGCTTGGGAAATTTTTAGAGTATCTTTGCTTTTAATGCAGTAGCCGTCTAAAATAAATATTATGGCTTCAATGCTTCTCAAAGAGACTTTAAAAGAAACAAAAACATTGTGTTAGTTATTTTAGGTTGCCAGTACTGGGGCGACCCTCTACGTCACAGCCGATTTAAGGGGCCGTACCCATATTACGTGACCGATTTAGGGGGGGGAGGGGGTTCGGCCAAATCCTACGGACGGTCACGAGGGGGGAGGGGGGGGTTAATTCAAAAATCACGTAGTCACGAATTTTGGGAAAATTTTGATAGCAAAACACACGAGGTAGCGGCGCGGTCAGGCAACAGATATCTGTTCCTGCTGCATCCAAGCGGACCAAGTTTCCCGAAATATGACAAGTTTTAGCGGTCGTTTTATGAATTCAAAGTGGCCATTTGATGTAAAATTGCTTAAATTTTACTTCCTCTGACCTTCAGGGTTCCAAAAAAAAGACCCCTTCTGTGAGCTAATAGACTATTCTAGTCGTCGACTGAAGAACAAGAAGAACAAAACCGAAAATGAAGTGGATTAGGAGCAGGTAGCGAGCCCAGTTTAAGGGAGAAATGTTGAGAAATATGTTTCTTTCCTTTACCAATAAGTATTAGAAACAGGCCTAATAGCATATCAACGCGAGAGGATTCGGGAACCTCTAAAATTATTGCCCTCGAACGGGTGGACGGCGCCATTTCCGGTTTTGTGCGGCTTCTTGTTCTTCACTCACCAACGACTGGAATGGCTTCATCGATGATCTTTGTCTTTCTTCACATCAGGAAACATCAAATTAGACGAAAAACAGCTTTTGAGAAAATCCTACGTGACATCGGTAGGGGGAGGGGGGGGTTCGCGAAGATCCTACGGTGTGTCACGATGGGGGGGGAGGGGGTCCAAAAGTGGCCTAAAACCGGTCACGTAATATGGGTACGGCCCCTAAGGGTATAGGCCTTCTCTGAAGACTTGCCATACCCTGACCTAAACGGTTCCTGGTTTTACCAGGAACTCGCTGGAAGGAGCCGTTTTTGCCGTGCACTCACTGGTTGAGGCTTCTTTAGACGTGGATTCATCGCAGAACGCTCGGCCTGTCATGGATGAAGTCCCAAAGTGGGAGAGAGCGCCTATTGGAAAAATGCTACGAGCATGCTTCTCATAAGTGCCAAAGTGCTACGCTTCTGATCCGAGAACAAAATGGTGGCTTGTTTGTTGTGCAGAAGGAATTGGAAAAGAGCTAACTATGGGTCAAAGAGAACATAAAAGGAATGTCTTTTCACTACGTCTCCTCAGAAGAGGTGGCAGCCCATGGGTCTGCACTAATGGTAAGGTAGTACTACACTGGTAGAACTCAAGCGTACTTTTACGCCTTTCTTCAAGCGTAGTAGATCTACGCTCGGCTTCAAGCGTAGTTCTCCATTTCGCCTCTTTCCCGCCTATCTAAATGCATGGGAGAATTTCTTCTCTATGCTTGACTTCAAGCGTAAAGTCTTCAAGCGTAGTTGTATGCTTGAATGAAGCATACAACTACGCTCTAGTTTTACCAGTGTATGTTTTGTCAAAGGTTCAAGGTGGCTTGGCGCATGCGCGGAAGGGACGGTAGACGGGAAAACGATGGGTAATACTACGATTCAGTTTTACCAGTGTATTTACTATACTGATTTAATTATTAGCGACAATGTTACTGATTTTTAACACCTTTTTTGGAGGTGGTGGCCGTCCTTGAGGAAAAAACAGTCCGAAGGGATGGGTTGGGTCTCCAAGAAAGTAAGTACTTGAAGAGCTGGTTGGGTTCTTGGAGCGGTTCCACGTTGAGACCACTGCCTTGGAGGAAAGCGGAAAGTTTTATCCCGTTCGTCCATTCGCCCTGCTGGCCAAACACACTTAAGAAACGGCAATTGCCTTCGGTGCTGGACGACCTGACCGACTCTTATAACCCATTGCTTTCAGATAATCCCAAATTTGAAAGCGGTTCCCAGTACTCGGACAACGTAATTAGTGAGAGTCATCACTCACCGGACCTTGAACAAGTGCTCTTAGCTGCCAAGGTTCACTCCGAGAACGCTGTCTTCATTTTCCTTAGAAGAGGCCCAAATCTCTTCTTCTCCTCATCGGATTCATAAAGAAGGTCTTGTTGCTGAATAAGCTGCCAAAAATGCAGCTTCAAATGCAATATCAATGCCGCCTTCGGTGCTGGACGAACTGACAATATCTTATAATCCATTGCTTTCAAATAATCCTTAATTTGAAACCAGTTCCCAGTACTTGGACGACATGTTTAGTGAGAGCAATCACTCACCGGACCTTGAACAAGTGCTCTCAGCTGCAGTGCGTGACCACTGCGAGATGAAGCCAAACGACTCCTACTCCATTCTACTGCTCAGGCAACGCGCTCCCTCCTTCATAGAGGCAAAATACCTGCCCAGTCCCATGCACAAAGTATTAACCTTTCTTTGGCCGAACTACCGCCACCTAGTCATGGTGGATCCAGCAGAGAGAGAGAGAGAAGGTAAGTTCCGTAAGAGAAATTCAGTATTTGTTAAGTTTTTGTTTTGAACTGTTTTTGTTTTGCAGGTTTACGCGAAAGTTCGCAGCCTCATGGCGTAGATTGATATAACCACACAGGACAGGCAAGACGGCCAGGACGATCCAGACTTCCTAAGGAGACTCGGGCGAAGGCGCCTGCGTGATTGCCAGAAATACACTTTGCCCCTGAAAGCAGGCAACTTAAGTTACATCACCTCCCGTGATTCTCTGGATCCACCACTGAACACACTCGGCAGTGAAAAGTAACAAGGGGAGAACCGAGTACGGACGGACACGCACGGGGTACGAGCTATGCCTTCTGGAGGCTGACGCTCTAGAAAAGCCAGAGCCATTCCAGAAACTACTGAGGTACTTCAAGAATGAATGGCTCAAGAATATGCCCAGGCGCGAGCTATCGCTCTTTGATCGGACGGTTTATACCACCCGCGACATCGCCACCAACCCCTGCCGCCGAGGAGATGGAGTGGGAGCCATCGCCACGCCCACCTCTCCCGGCCAGGAAGAGGACAAGATGTCCATCGGCGAGGAGGAAATGGACGTTTACAGAGGCCACCACCAACGGACCTACGGCAGAGCATCGGGGGGCCGGAAATGCAAAGTGGCTTATTTGGTTTCTTTGTTCTCATTTAATCCTCTTATTTGGGTGTTTCTTCCTAAATTAATCCTCTTCCCCAAATGGCTTATTTGGATTTTTTTTGTTCTAAATTAATCCTCTCCTCCCCCCCCCACCACCAGGACCCATCTTTTCTGTATTAGTTTTTCATATTTTGGGATTTAAACATTTGTCGTATTGCCACTCAAGTGTCTTTTGTCGATCGCTCCGCTCCGTCGGGTTTATTACAATGGTCTAGTGGGTAGCGTGTGTGACTCAGAAGGGTGACAACCGATCACAACGGGGTTCAAATCTCCAAAACAGCTCCACACCAATTTCTCTCAGAGGCATTTGGCAGATAATCTATCCAAACCTAGTTGGTGTCGGCGTTGACTGTGGGACCATTTCTGGGAAGATCCTTGACCTGGGTACTTGTTTCCCCCACCTTGAAGAACCCGTTCACGACGGTGGGTGGTGCCCCGGTACCATGTTTCTTCAGTTCCCCGCTTGTCCACCAACAATTTGAAAAACGGCAGCTGCCAACTTCAGATACCCTGTGGGGGTTCCCCATCTAACTCACCCCTGTCACAGACCATTGTACTATTTTGCCTCTGACTCATATAATTCTTTACTGTGTCTGACATTCTAATGAGCCTTTGCTCCTTGATACTTGACTCCGGGTTTCCTGCCATTTTCCCTTGCGGCCCGTCTGGGTTGGGGGTGGTTGCCGACGCCAGTCGTACCAAATGTTTTCTGTTTAACGGTCGAACTTCTTTTGCTCTGTTCTCTGTGACTTGTTTGTTTTTTAACGTTGACTCTCTTATTGTCCCTTTTTATGTCCGTTATTGGGGCTTTATTCTCGTATAGTTTTTTGGCCTTTGATTTTGCCTTGTAATTTTAGCACCCCGTTCTTTTCAAAAACTTCCTGTAACTTTTTAAACGTTGGGCAATCTGCTTGTTTTTTTTCTTGTCGCTCCCGTTCATGATCGCCATCTTGCTCCACTGCGAGAAGAGATCACGGTAAATCCTGTACTGATTACTCCAGACTTCACCGTACTTTTTTTAACAGGGAATGCCGTCGTTTTTTTTCAGGCAATACCGTACTTTCTTTACAGGAAACGCCGTACTTTTTTTTTACAGGGAATCCCGTACATTTTTTCCCCCACAATCCCGTACTTTTTAATGTCTATCAGAAACTGCTATAATTTTGTTCAGTCGGTTGACCCTCTTTTTCCAAGTTCCTGATGTACGCAACTGCTGAAGTCGGACTCCTGGACCCCTCTTCCGACCACTCGTCGGAAAGGTCTTGACGAGACCTATTGAAAGGTGCAATAAAATTTTTCAGTCGGTCGACCCCCTTTTTCAAGATCCTGATGTGGACACTTCTTGGAAGCGGCCTTTGTTGGGACCAGATCTGGTCTTTCCTACGGCATGGACTGTACGGAAGAACGGTAACTACTGTTAAAAGACTACGGAATATTTTGTAAAACCAGTACGGTAAATACTGTAGACTGTACGGAGGATACTGGTTTTTGAAGTACGGTAAAGTTTGGCAAAAAAATTATCCAGGATTTACCGTCATTTTTTCTTAGAGTGTCGCTCGCTGTTCCTCAGAATCCTGCCTGACTTGTGGTTTCCGAAAACCTTATCATGGTTACCTCGAACTATCACCCTGACCGTGTAGTTCTGCCTCAGTGCTACCGCGGTTCTGTTATCTGCGTTGGACCTGCTGATGGTAACGTTGTTTGTCACGTAAGTATTTGCATTGTATGCATCCTTTCTCCTTTAATTCACCTTTACTTTTATTATTTTAGTTATTGTTGCCAAAGGCTTACCCTGGTTGTGCCCGGTGGGGGCTTGGATAATATAGTGTCGAAAGGGGGACCTATCCCCGACAACTGGACAATTCTGAAGTTCAACGAAGGCTCGGAACTATTCCGAGTACATCTCCTCCCTGAGCACGCATCAACACTTCCCCCTGGGCGATTCCATGCCAAACCAACGAACGCTTGGAATTTCATCTCTCCGATTTTGATGAAACTTATTTTGGGGGTAGGGGTCATCATAAAAAGACCCCCTGCCAAAGGGTTTTGCGATATCTCACCCCGTTTGGCTGTGACAAGATATCAAAGTTTTAGCTTTAGTCTAAATCATGATGTTTTCTTGAATTTCCTCTTTTCTGGCTGATTTTTTTTTTTTTCCATCGTGTTTTTTTACGTAAAAAGAGCTGGGGAACACGATGAAAACGGTTTCGAGACGATTTGGTGAAGTTTTGATGCCAAAATTTTCATTTTTCGTCATATTTTTTCGAAAAATTGCCATTCCCAAAATAGCTCATCTTCGATTTCGACCTTACTTTTACCAAATGATCTCCTAGCATAGTGGAACACAACCCTAAAAGGGTTTGGTCGGCCCGCCCATAGGATCTGAGAAATCTCAAAAAGAAATTTTGAAAAATCACCAAAATCGTGTATTTGAGGTGGTGGTGGTGGTGTGGGTTCTTGCCTGCGCTGCGCAGCCGCAGCGGGTGGAAACTCTGTTGCCAAAAACGGCATGCAAAGGTTTTTGTGCAGCTTAGATCTCGGAACCCAGAGGTGGTAGGTGAAATCCGACGTCATATTTGGAATCCTCATAAAATTTCACTCGGCGTAGGACATGTTTAGTGCCAGGGCCAAAGGAAATGGTCAGTCATTTTTCCATGAGAAAGTAAAAAAACAGGTGAAAAACGCTCTGGGACCAGGATAGAAATTTACGGTTTATCCCGAAAATTGCTATTTGGTCATGCTTAATGTGAGACAACGGTAAGGCCAATTCAAATTCTGAGTACAGATATGAATTCAGCGTGCTTTCGTGTGTGCATTCCACCTATAGGTTTCAAAGAAGGAGGGCCTGTACCCTTTAGAACACGCAGTCAACGGCAGACTGTTTTGTAATTTTATGCAATACAATCGCTGCATACCCTCTCTCAGTTTCACGGCAACGGTTCTCTGTTATTTTGGTGTGTTGACGACTCCCAGGCAGCGTAATGCACAGGAAATTTCCTCAGGATTCAGAATATGACCTCAGAATTCACCTACAAGGTCCCGTTCTCTTGCATTAAGTGTTACCACAAAACAATGCAACGTTTCGATCATGGTCCCACAGCGTTTTTTCTCCTTTTTTTCTTTTTCTCATTGCAAAATGACCGACCATTTCCTTGACCTCCCACTCCAAACATACCCTACGCCGAGTGAAATTTTATGAGGATTCCAAATATGACCTCGGATTTTACCTACCACCTCTGGGTTCCGAGATCTAAGGTGCACAAAAAAACCTTTGCATGTCTTTTTCGGCAATAGAGTTTCCACCCGCTGGCAGCCGTCTGTTCTGGTCAACATCGACTTCCCCGCTCGGCGTGCGAAGAAAAACCACCCGCCAGGAGCGCCTGTGAAGCTCGGATAGGCAACCCGCAGGCCAGAGTGCGCATGTGCGTGCGTTGGGTTGCCTACCTTCCATTACCATTACCACTAAGTGCTAGACCACACATGAGTTAACTGAACTTCACTTGAAAGGCTAGACCACAATCAATCGTGTGTACAAGTCTGTTTCTTCTGTTAAAATGGTGAACAATTCATGTTGTAGAGGCGGAAAAAAAAGGGGGGGGAGAGTTAAATTGGATAACGGTAAATACCCATTATTTACTCAATTTTAATTTTGTACGCAAATGAAAAGAAAAACAACTTATTTTTTTTCAATTTTTGGCTGAGCGATAGCGAAGCCTGTTACTCCATTGGGGTTGAAAAGTTTTTCCTGTCTGTCTGTGTGTGTGTGTGTGTCTGTCCGCACTACTCCTCCTGAACGGCTCGGCCGATCTCTGTGCCATTTTGCACACTCTTTAGGCATGTCCTTGGCTCGGCACACGCGAAAGCTCACCATCGTAGCTCAACTGGTTCAGTTTTTATAGCCGAAAAACACCTAAAAACGGCGAAAAATCGAGTTTTCTGCAGGCAGGATGCCTTCTGTCCTGAAGAAGGGGGGGGTCTGGGGGGGCGGAGCCCCCCAGCCTCGATAAGTTCAAAGGTTACAAGGGTCAAGATCATGCTATCTGTAGATGAAGCAACTCTACCTAGAAGGAAGGGGGGTCTGGGGGCGGAGCCCCCCAGCATGCAACATGTTAGAAGTAACCGACGATGGACAAGCCATTGCCTGCCGAAGGCAGGCTAGCGCCGTAGGCCAAGGTAGGTACGCCAGGCGCGGATTGGAGGAACAGGCAGCGAAACATCGCGAAGCCTGTTACGACAAGACGCGGTCTGGCGTAGACCTACCTTGTTTAGAGTTGATTACTTAGAGCCTTAGAAACCATAGAGCCTACAAAAAGAGGAAAATTGACTTTTTGACTCCCGACATTGTGGCAGCTATGCATAGAACAAAAACAACGACTCGAAATGCAAAGCACATTTTTGAGTCCACCGTAAAGAGTCACTTTCCGGAAGACCAGCAGCAGAATGTCAAGCTCAGCTATGGGACATTGTACAACACTACAAGGAAAATTACTTCTGAACTTGCTGCTGAAATAAAGGAGAATTTCAAACTCTGGGAGAAAGGGAGGCGCGTGCCTCTTAGTCGAGAGTGAAATCGGCAAGGATTTACTCCACCTGGCTTGTAGGCACCATGTATACGAGCTCGTCCTTGAGGGAGCCTTCGAGCAAGCTCTAAGTCACGCAAACAGTCCAGACATCCATCCTTTGTTCCTTAAGTTTTTAAACTTTTGGAAGCAAATTGACCAAGGTTTGCATGCTCATTCTAAAATAAATGTACAGGGTTTTAAAGAATTTCAGTACAAAATTAATTATGTTGTTTCTCGTTACAGGAAAGTTTATTACATTAGGCAGAGCAGCACTGCGGCGATTTCCGGGGAATCCCGACGAAGTTATTGAATTTTGTACTAATCAATTAAAGGTAGGCTTTAAGACCGGCAATAAAAGGTTCACGCGGCTTTTAAAAGAAACCTGTTTGTGCTGAAATTGACCATTTACTACGGCTCACTACAGGTGATTCAGCCGCGCGATGATTACAAGGAGTTTCTGCAACTTACCATCATCTTTCTCGGAGGGATTCCACCTGGAGGAATCTCATTTCGGAAGCCTGGCGCCCTCAACAAGACTCGGTGGATGGCGCGAGCCGTCTATGCACTCAAGATGTACATGTTCCAAAAGCAGTACCCTTTCACGCGTGCTGAGAAGAAAGGACTCGAGGACATCTGCATTTTTGTTTCAGCTGCTTATGTGAAATTTTGGTTTGAGTGCCCTAGTGCAACCATGGCTCCACTGAATGACCTTGAATTTTTGAAGCTGCTGAAACGCTACGAGTCCTTTACTGGCGCGTGGAGTGCCGCACTAACAAAACTGATGAGTCATCTGCGGTACCTGAGCGCCGATCTTGCTCCTCTTGCATTGTATGATAATCGAGTGCCAACTAGTGTAAAGAAGGATATGATTAAGAATAATGTCAAAGGATGGGGATGAGGACCCTCCCAAGCGGGCTCTTGTGCTCCGTGAAACAATTAATAGTGATTTGACCTTTTGTGGACAAAAATTCACTTAGTTTGTTTGAGATTCTCAATTTGTCTCAGTCATATTTAAAAGTGGACCCTGATCAATGGATTCATGATGACAAGTTTTTGAAAGATCAGGCAATAGTTAAGAATTTAAGAGTTGTTAATGACACCGCCGAAAGGGGTGTTAAACTAATTACAGAATATTGCAATATTCTTACAACTGATGATAAAGTAAGACAGTAATTGACGAGGGGGTATGCACTCTCAAAAATTGCGTACCGACTACTCCCTTATACCGTAATAGATTTTTATTACGAGGTATTACGCCTATTACAAGTATTACGCGACTATTACGCCTATTACGCGACTATTACAGGCATACTGCGTTTGAAAATCACGCGCCAAACATTCCCTGGTGACTGCTAATAACGATTACTGCAAATAGGCATGCCATGGATGAGAAGTTCAGACGAGCAGTTTTGTCCTGTTATTGTTTATCTTTGTCTTTGAAAGTTTCTGCAACATTCGATCTTCGGCTTTAATTTAAATCTGAGATATTGTTTAGCCATTTGACACCCCCAGCATACTTTTAATTTTTATTGGTTTTCTGTTTGATTGCTGAAATTCGGAGTCATCTAGATTTATAATGAGCTCACTGTTTTTTAACCTTGTGGTTTGAGAGAAAGATTTCATTAATAAATTGCGCTTACCAGTAACTGTGCTCTGACTCCAGAACACAAATTTTCTTTGGGTAAGGGTCTGTGGTGGGATGTCTCATTTTGTCTCCAAACAAAAAGCGGCAAACTTTCACATCCACTGCAAGTTACTGCTATACCTTGAATTCGCCACATATTTTGTCGATGTTTATTTTTATTTGTGGGCCAAATGTTACTGAGGAATATGACGCAAGTCCAGTTTGTACCACAGCTATCATTTATTTTCTCAATCATCATTATCTAATAATCAGTCATTCCAATTCAAAAAAGTCAGCTGAACTTTGCCTCAAACAATAAATACAGGGTAACATTACTCAACAAGTACTCAAACACCTGTTACCCACGGTAACATGTTCTCAAACTTAAAACTAGAGGAATGATATAATAGAATTATCTGATAATCAGTCGTTCTTATTCTAGAAAATTTTAAGCAAACTTTGCCTCAAATTAAATACTGGATAACAATATGCCGCTCAAACTTAAAAGTAGAGGAATAGTATTCAGTCAAACGGTAACTTCCATTTAGGAACTAAAAACATAACTTTTTAATTGGTCATTAAAATTCTTTTTCATCTTATTACTACTATTCTAGTAAATATCAAGGAGATAAAGTGGCAAATAAAATTGAGGGCATTTAAATTGGCAATAATACTTATGGGAAAATCTTCTAAAGACTAAACTCACAGCAATCAATCACAGAGTAACATTATTTTTTAAATTTTAGAATGTCTTTCAAAGTGCAAGCTGAAATCAAACGTTGGTCTCGGTCCAGTGTTGGGCGGGGTAGAGTGCAAATGTATTTATCCACACTATAATAGCCATGAACATCCATGCCAGTTTTGTGGAGTACTTTACTGTTGCCTTTCAAATAAAACCAGGAGCACATGCATCCTAGGCCTCTTGAATTTTGCTCTGGAGCTTTGGTTGGAGCAGAAAGTTTGGAATACTCCTGCTTTTTGAGGGATGCACCAGAAAGATAACTAAAAGCCAGTATTCTCCCTATAGCAATGCTGTTTTCTTCTTTAAAGGCACACCAGTCTCCAACATGAACTTCCTCTTCTGCTGCAGGTGCACTTGCTTTTCTGCTTCCCGTTGGTGAAAGAGAGTGATGAATAGGCCCAGCCATTACTCGACTTAACCGGTCAGAGCTCAACTTTGTGTCCCCACTGCTGAGCATCCAGCACAAAGTAGACTTCCTAATAATATTTGGATTTCCAAACCCATCACCTACCAAAACAAAAGGGCTTTTGTCAGTCAGGGGCACATTATTATATTTCTTGACACCCAGTGCACCAGAAGAAACTATGAATAAATCTTCTAAGACTTCATGGGTGCTTTCTTCCTGCTTTTCTAGGTCCGCTGCAGTAAATGTTTCATCAGTATCGCTATCCACATCCATCAGCTCATGGTCAATGTATGCTTCATTATCATCATCATCATCATCATCATCAATAAGTTCACTCTCAGCTTCAGCTCTTGTCTTTAAATGGGTTTGTGGAATTACCAGTCTTGAGTTACGATGGATGAGATGGAATTTTTTTGCCAAGTCCATGCCTTCTTGGATGGCAACGGAGACTGCTGCTTCTATCTCAAAATCCTCAGGCAAGCAAATGGGAACATGAGGAGCCTCTTCACTTAAAACAGCTGCTTTAAAATGTCTGGGAAAAGAAAACATTTTGGACAGATTAACATAAGTAGAAGATAGCAAGTCCAGTCTTCGAAAGTGATACTGCAAGTCAAGAATAGAAAATGCAGATGCACCACACTTTGAAGCAAGAGCTGAGCGCAGAATGCGAAAGATTTTTTCATCCTCTTGACTGGACAATTTCCATGGCTGGAACAATGAGTGCTCTTCCCCATCTCTCAATAGTATAATAATTTGAATCAAGCAATGCGCATTTATTTCAATGCATGTATAAGCATTGGAGCTTATAAAATTATTTTTCACAGTGTAGTCTCCGCCGGAATCCAGAATGTACTTTCTCCATAGGCGGAGAAAAATAACCCACTTCCAAATTAACTTGATTCTTTGAAGTGGTGTTAACTCAGGTTTAGTGAATGAGTCGTTGATTTCTCTGATCATATCTAAATAAGTTGCTGTGCCTTCACTGTCAGGAATTTTGGCACGCAACAGAAATGTTACTTTCTCATCAGTTATCTTTTGCACTGCTCTGTAATTCATTTTATCTTTCGGATTAATGTGTAGTTCTGTTAGCTCATGCTGGTCCTTGCTTACAGTTTTTATCAGTTCCACAAGGTGCCCTCTGCTCGCAATGTAGTCCCCAAGTGGCAAAATAATGGAAGCCTTCAAGAAGCGATGATTCAACTTTGCAGAAATGTGGATATGGTCTTGAAAGTAGACAACTTTTACTTTCTTCTTGGCACTGAACCAAGGCCAATCAGGAAGACTAGGTGATATCACATTTTGATACATAGTTGAGAGCAGTCTAGTATCACCATCTGATGCAAAGCTAATAACTTGAATACCTGAAAAAAAAAGGATAATTAAGATAGTGATTTGTTGTTTAACTGTAACAAATTTTTGAAGAAATCTATAAGTTTTAAAAATAAAATTGAATATAAGTACCTTCTTTGTGGAGTGCTTCTTGAGTCCATGCTAGTCTGCTTTTAACATCTGACGCCTTAAATTTGTTGTTAGTCCCATACAAACTTAGGCAGAATGAAGGGGCACCTTGCTTCAAAGGGACTGCCATTATGCAATAGGCATACCTGCTTGTGTCATATTTTTCAAAGTATTCAGCAATTTTAGAAGCACTGGTTGCTGGGAAACTTCCAATAATGGGAAGACCATTTGAATCTAGTGGTAATGTTGGTCCAACAATTTGATTACTGGCAGAGTCATATTGTATCCGTCCAGTGACTACAGTAGCATCTTCGCACAGATGGACTGTCAGGGGGCATTCATGAAGAATCAAAAACTGCTTTAGCTGCTTGATACGGAAGACACCTTCAACAAATTTGTCATTGCAGTAAATTTTTCTTCTGATGGTTGTTATGGAAGGAAATGGGAAATTTTGCTTGCACTCTGAGAAAAAATGACGGTAAATCCTGGATAATTTTTTTGCCAAACTTTACCGTACTTCAAAAACCAGTATCCACCGTACAGTCTACAGTATTTACCGTACTTGTTTTACAAATTATTCCGTAGTTTTTTAACAGAAGTTACCGTTCTTTCGTAGAGTCCATGCCGTAGGAAGGACTAGATCTGGTCCCAACAAAGGCCGCTCCCAAGATTTGTCCACATCAGTATCTTGAAAAAAGGGGGTCGACCGACTGAAAAATTTTATTGCACCTTTCGATAGGTCTCGTCAAGACCTTTTCAACGAGTGGTCGGAAGGGGGGTCCAGGAGTCCGACTTCAGCAGTTACGTACATCAGGATCTTAAAAAACAAGGGTCGACCGACTGAAAAAAATTATAGCAGTCTTTGATAGGTATTAAAAGTACGGGATTGCCGGGTAAAAAAGTACGGGATTCCCTGTAAAAAAAGTACGGCGTTGCCTGTAAAATAAGTACGGTATTGCCTGTAAAAAGACGACGGTATTGCCTGTTAAAAAAAGTACGGTGAAGTCTGGAGTAATCAGTACAGGATTTACCGTGATCTTTTCTCGCAGTGTGTAGCATAACACCTCATAAAGTGCTAGGCCTCCAAGAGAGTAAATAAGAAAGGCAAGCTCTTTTACCACCTCATGAAAGCGCCAACCACCAGGTTTCTTACCCGCATTGCTCTTTGCACACTCTAGAAGCAAATTTAGCATACCAAATTCAGTAGGTGGTGAATCCATCTTTAAAACATTACTCATTTGGGCAGCAAGTTTTTCTTTCAGTTCAATGTTTTCTTTCAAAATTATTTCCATCTCATTTAAAATTGGGAAGAAATCAGTGATTTTGAGGCTACATTCAGCTGCTTCATTCAATTTGCTCCTTGTTCTTTCTTGGCGGCTTTGACAGATGCGAATGTTTTCTGTCTTTGGACGAAGAAAATTTTCCGCCTCACCATTTTCTTCGCCTATTGAAAATTTTGACTTTGGCTCATATTAGTATTCTCATTAGTATTCTCATTAGTATTATCATTAGTATTATCATTAGTATTCTCATTAGTATTATCATTAGTATTATCATTAGTACCATCATCATCTTGAATTTCTATAGTTGTGTTACTCTCTGCACTCTTCTCCTTAGCGTGGGTTCCACTTGAATCTCCTGAATCTAAACCTTCATCGTCTGGATTTTCTTCT